TGCATGGCTTCAATTAAGTTTAAAGTTATGACAATGATTGGACAATTATACCTGCAGTGTAGGGTTGACATGTAGGTGTTTCAATGCTGATGCAACCCTACAGGGGCTTGTTTGAATTCACTTTATACTTTCAAAACAGCAGCCCCACAGGGGCTTGTTTAAATTCATTTTACAGGTTCAAATCCAACAGAGGCTCAACCCTACACTAAATAATTTTTCAATCTTTTGTTCTAGTTTCCATCCTTTTTAATAAACAATACTGTTTTTTTAGCATATATTTTTAAGCTTGGTACAATTTTGAAAGTATTTCTTAATTTTTAGGTAATCCTGAAAGTGCATCTAAGGCAGTTAAAAAGAAGCATCCTAAACTATTAAAAATAAGTAAGATAAACAAAACAATATCTGTTAAAAACAATATTAAATCTATATTTATCAGAAATATAATTTGATGAGAGGAGTTTGAAATGTTGTATTCATTACAGGAGACCTAAAAGAAGACAAACAAGAACGTTAAAAAAGTAATTGTATTATCATAAACAAGTGTGATAGTGAAACATTTTTGCTACAATTAAGTTATAATCTGATTACAAGTCGTGTTAAGAATAAAAATTTGACAGTAATGGAATGAAAGAACTTGACAGTAGTGGCATTCCATGTAATGATTGCAGGCTAGGTTAACTTAAGCTGAATAAGGAAAAGTTATGTTATATGTGTATGTGTATGAGTCTTCAAAACTAAATTTTGAAAACTTCAATGAAGTGGTATTGCTTGTAAATTCAAGTGTCATACATGCATAATGTAAAGGAAATAAAGAAAGAATTAAATTTTAAGTATTATAACTTACCTAGGTTTATTGATGGAGCTCTAGTGTGAGATAGAGAGGGACAGAGAGAAAGGGAGACACATGGGAGTGGGAAGGAGGAACTGAGGGAGGGAGAGAGAGATTTATGAGTACGTTTGTATAAATCTGACAATGTATACATGTACTGTACATAACATCGTGAACTAGTATGTCTTAAGGAGAGTTGGAGGCATGATTATGAAAGTACATGTACATTCATTTATGGAGTTTGAATAAAATAAATAGTGAAGGTTTGCATATAAGAGTTTGAATAAGAGTGGGCATTGGATAGAAAAATTACCAGTACTGAGTAGTGGCAAAAATGGCTAGTACATGTACTATGCAACTGAAGCAGCAAGTGTAGTTTGTTCATGTGTATACTTAAACTGAGTGAAGAAATATGGACTCTTCAAATGCACATACATGTACATGTACAAGAGTATAAATGCGACACTCTGAGCAATAAATACAAGTCTGCATGTCATGTAGATACAAAATGAAAACTACATCTTGACACAACCGGTTAACCTGACACTAGTTGGCAGCTCTAAACTACATGTAGATGTACATGTACATGCATTAAAGGAGTTACCATATAGTGGGACATTTGAAGGGAGTTAAATTTTGGTGATTGGCAGATTTCTATTTTGGCATATGGCTATCAAAACACCAAATTTGCCAAATTTAATTCCCTCCAAATTTCCAAAATTTCCCGCTATATATGTTTTGAATAATAATTAAATAAACATCACAACATTGAAGGATACAAAATATAGAAAAAAATAAGCAAGCAAAGCAGATTAGCATACACATACTGTACTATACTAGGGCCACGTTGACTTTTCCACTTATTATAAATTCAACCTTCATAGGTCATCATTTAAGTAGCTGACAATTATGAATAAGTGTTTGTTAAGTATTTGTTTATTTTAATGTTTACCACTAAGAATGTAATAAAAGTACAGTACATTTTTAATTATTATTAAAACCAAAAGTATATAAAAATAAGAGATAAAAAATAGTCAAATGGCCTTGTCAGTTGCAGCCTTGATATCATAGAGAAAGGTCGAGTTTTGGGTGCCATCTATCTGACTGGTGGAATCGCTATCTAATCAGGTTCATCACTGGATTCACAACTGACATGAGTAACAAATAAACTCAGACACACTAAGTCTTGCTTGTACATCAAGCCTATCATTCTGCCAGTAGTGGTCCTCAAAGAAGAGAAAACCATCTGTGTGGCTGAACGGGGCAGTGTTTGAACAGTTTCATTGTCTTAAAACAAGATGACTTACTTGTAGCGTGTGCTGTCCTCTTAAACATTGCCTCTAATTTTCTTCGCCTGTGATTTCAGTCATATTCCTTGTCCTTTTCGTCTTATTTCCTTCCCCTTCTCTCTGCTGTTGAATCGCTGCCATTTTTCTTGCAGTCAGTTTACTGCCCACGTGTTCACAAAGCGTAGGTGGTAGTAATGGCGTAAGTACTCTCTAAGTGGCCTCGTGCTTTGATTTCTTCTTTCACTTTGACAAGCTTTGCTCTACTATTATCTTATATCAAAGGAACCAAAAATCCAAGCATTGCACAACAGTGAAACACCGCCATTTATAGCACTTAAAATAAGAAAGTTATTCAAAATTTAAAATGGCAAAGTCAGTGTGGCCCTACTATAGCATACTTGTAGAAACAGTCACAGGCTTTAACCTGTATCTATATTTTACTGCCCAATCTTAATTTTATTGACCATTTGCGGCAAAACCTACTAATTGATAAGATAAATAATGAATATTTTCCCCAATAAAGATCCCTCGCTAAGGCCACTATAATTACAGTATCCCATTACAAAGGGGGCGGGCACATTTGTTTATTACTTTACTCATTATACATGTAACTAGTATAAACAACTGCAATACCATAGGTTGTGACATATTCATGGCTACTAATATTCACAATTTGTTACTGTGACCAGCAATTATCATGCATGTACATGTAGATACCAGATGTAATTTGATATTAAAGCCAAGCCTCCTGATGCAGTGCTATTGAGTTGTTAATTGTTATTACTTTTTATAGTCGGTTTCAGTTGAGTTTGACAGGAAGTTTTCATCATCAAAACGTCACGTGTAGCCCCGCCCACACATGCAAATAAAATGGCTGAAACTACAATGTGCTCTCTTTTTCTTCCTCTAACTCCTTGAGTCTCTTGTTTTGGGCGCTATTTCCTCTACATATTACCTGCAGGATCTTTGTCCTTGTTATCACTTCAAAAAAGAGGCAAGAAATGCAAGATTACAAGGGATTTTCGGAGCGGTAAAAAGTGGCAGCAGTTATGAAGGATTGGAGAGGTAAAGCAGACAAGCCGAGGCTTCTTTCTGGAGTGCAAGACCTTCTAGTGAATAATCCCTTAGTCTGGGGTGTTCCTTTTGCTTTGTATTATTTTTAAACAAATAAAACATGATTGTTAGCAATGTAATAAGATGCAAATTATATTCACGAGCATAACACGCATACAACATCATGGCGGCTTCTTTGATGAAGACCGGAAGAACCCGTTGAGAACCTTCCAGAGTACCCAGAGACTCCAAAATCAATCCAGATATGCGGAAGAACCCGTTATGCAACCATACCAAGTTTTAAGTTGCTAGCATTAATAACAAAAAAGTTATAAGGATGTTTCACCTGTCAAACTCAACTGAAACCCACTATACTAGCCATTGGTCTTTTTGAAGCTGCTTAAACCAGTTTTCAGAACTCACCACAATATCTTGTAACTCTCCACCCATTCCAGTTGTGGTTTGTTATCATGATCAGCCAAACAGCAACAATTTTCAGCAAGGAGGTTGGAGGTAGAGGTTCATATAAGAAGCTAACAGAAACAGAACAAGTCACTATTGGTGAATGGCTCCACTAAAGTTGCTAAAGAACAGAAAATTAGCTGAAGACTGTAAATACGTGGTCTTGTTGTCATAGCAAAGCTTTATCAGTTTCTATGCTACTTCACTACACTTTTATTATTGCAAATATTAGCAGCTGTGAATATTACCTACAGTAATGAAATAGTGAGGGGGGACGGGGGACCATGTGGGTGGGAAATGGGTATAATCTAATTGGAGTGGCCTAAATATAATAGTAGTAGGACATGGCCAGGCCCATGCATGGTCTATGGAAGCCACTCCCTAATCGAGGCTACACATACATGCACATAGACTGGGGAGGGCATTTAAGCCCCACCATTTAACATGCCCATTAGTTTCGCCCAGCCCCTTCGCTTACCTCCGGAGGCAGGATCTGCAAGAGATGTCCAAGGGACTCTATCCTCAACTTTTCTTAGCTGCAAAGCATCTGTTTCAACTACTTTGACGGATCTGGTCTCCTCTGTCACATGATGTAGGTCAACCACATGTTCTTCTTGCACACATTTTAGATGGCAGTGTCGGCCATTCCTCCGGCTCCACAGGTAGTGAAAGGACGGGGCGAGACTACAAACCCATAAATGTATAAAACAGACAATTTACTTTATATATTTACCTTACTTGAAGAGATTGAAGTAATTAAGAGAATGAAGGCAAATTGAAGCATAAATACAAAACTCTGTGGATATAAAGTAATTAATAAAATTATTAACGTTTATATATCAATTTACAGTAATTCCTCTCACTTGAAGTGAATCTTGGTAGATAGGGTGTTTAGGCAGGCACATCATCTTAATCTCATCATAGATCAGTCAGTAAGCAGCAAGGTAACAGCAGTAAGTACCGGTAATTGCCGCAAAACAAAGGAGTCCCCCCATTGAATAATACTGAGCATGCGCAGTTGGATGCATCAAAATGGCTTCCAACAACGTGGTGAGTCCATGTGTGCTTCAAAATAATGACAAATATCATTTTGTAGAAATACAATGTCAAGCCATACTGCACTAGCGTCCCTCAAGCGCAACAGAATGGTGCAAAAATCATATTTCTAGGTTAAAAACTCTAGGACTAGTTCTTACTTTAACTGTGAAAGAAGGAGAAACCTGAACATTTGGTGCATGCAGGCATGCATGCCATGCATTCATTTGCCGTATAACTATCTTATGGAAGTTTTAACTGCTGATGTGTTATCATAAAATTATAGAGGATATCTGGACCGTCGAATAAGCAACCAAGAATTCCTGAAGATTTACACAGGCTCAATGCTTCTTGGATGGCGGCCATTTTGGGGTGCGCTTGTCCAACTCAACCCTATATACCAAGCGCTAACGCTTGGTAATACACATTGTACATGTGCTTCTTATGTACTAGACCTAGGCTGGGAATGGTCTAGCTAAGGAGTATCACATTTACATGCATTTTAATTAAAGTAGCCTATGACTGGTTGACACATACTCCAGTTCCCATGCAGCTCTTTTGAAAGCACATCCTTTTTTGCATAGCAAATAATGGCCACAAAAATGTCTAAACAGTCAAAAAGCTATAACTCTGCTTGTCAAACTCAGTCTCAAATTTATACAGTCTTTACACAAGTTAATGCTTCAAATTTGGCACCTACAGAGAGGGTTAGTATCTATAGTTAAATGGTTGCCTCATTCATCAGTCAGTACATGTATTATGTCCATTATGTGACTCATTTTCACCTTAGATTTGTAGCTATAAACAACAAACTAACCCTCTGTAATAAGAAGATTTTCACATCCATCAATGCAAATAATACTTCCATCTTCTCGGATTACCTCTTCACCACAGTAAAAGCAATATATCATCTCCTCTATGTAGCTCAGATCTAGAGTTTCCAGTGTTGCTTCTTTCTGTATTGTGAATGTTCTTGTTTCTGGTTTTCCTTTCTTTCTGTGGATGCAATTAATACAGTATCGTTTTTTGGCAGCCACTTTCAATTTAGTCTTATGACAGTAAATGCAAAATTCAATTTGCATCTCCTCTGCCATTGTTATAAATTTCTTGTCCCTACTTGCACCAAAATGCTTTAGAATGACTATGCAACTAAAATTTATAGTCGTACGATAGGCTTTGAAAGATAAGGCAGGTATATGACCAAATTTGGTCAAAATGTAGCCCTTGTGAGAGGAACTCTACGTTGACTCAGCTTTATGTTCGCAGGCGTGAGTTTGACCTAATTTGGTTATAGCAACTATGATTATTTTGCGTGCCTTCTCATGAGAAATAGGCCGCACACAGTTGACACAGCTGCTATAGTGATACAAATAATAAATATTTTATCTCAAACATATATACCCAACCAAACTATGTATTGTGGATACAGATCATAAAAAGGGAGCTTAGGAAGATTATTGAGTATATGGATGCTTTCTTGTGAAGGTATACCTTCACAAGAAAGTAGCCATAAACACAATAATCTTCTTAAACCCTCTTTTTTACATTAGATTGATTGTTCAATTGCAAAATGTTAAAATAGTTAAACATACAAGATTATTAATATCTGATACAACATTTACTTACTATATATCTCACTAAAACAATACATTTCATGAGACTCAGTCATGCAGTTACATTTATGGTTTGTTTTTTTAACTTACTTTTTTCTAATTATTACATATTGTCATTTTGTTACTTGACTTGTCAGAATAATAGCTTTTATGTCTAGTTAATGAATGCAGGTAAGAGAGTTTGCCTTTAATGATATTGAGTGAGGACCAAAACTTATTGTTATTTTACCCAGGTATTATACTTGCATAAGTTGCAATAGACATTTTGTCATTGTTGCTGGTACTTTTGTCACGAATTTTAAGACACAACTTTACATTACTTTAATGCCATTAATTAAATTTGGAGGCATAAGAAAAATAGAATTAAGCTGTCCTGTTATACCGTTAAAAACACTCAGTGTGTCAAGGCCTAGTGAGGCTTCAAACCACATAAGGATGGTCTTTGAACGTTAAAAACACTCAGTGTGTCAAAGCTTAGTGAGGCTTCAAACCACATAAGGATGGTCTTTGGACGGGGATTTCTTTGGTGCATTATCGTGACAACCAAATAATGTAAACTACATAGCTATACTGATTCTAGGAATGGCTTACTTATTGTGTTATTCTATAGTTTACCAATTAGTTTCAGTATTTAGGCTTGCAAATACTTGCACAATGTTATTAGCTGTCATTAAACATAAATTTTCAGTCATCTAAAACAAATGTTTTTGCTTCCCTTTCTCAAACTGCCTTCACTCCTTTCTGTCTATTTATCATGCAGTTTATTATATTAATTATAATTAGTACCTTAAATTGGTTTCTAACTTTGGTTACTATTAACTGCTAATTTTGCTTTTGGAATAAAAATTGCAATTATTATAATTATTTGCCATATTGGTAATTAATTTACCATAGGGTACCTTTTTTTGAGGGCTATAAATTTCATGGATTTTAATTTTGCAGATTTAATTTTCACGAATTTATGCCGTCTGCCATCTTGTACCATATTAATTTGATTTTCGCAAATCTTTAAAAACTTGCAAAATCTGGGAAACTTATAGCCCTCAAAAAAAGGCACCCTATGGTACTAATCACAATTATTAGTATATCCACAAAATCTACAAGGAGTTAAAATCATATATTATTTTGTACCTGTAATAAACATACTCTTATTTGTAAAAAGAGCAAACACATGTCAATGGGTTATGTGAGCAAATTTGTCACATATAGTATAAAAAAGACTATAGTATGCATAGCTTAAAACATGAATGATGTTTACACTTTGCTTAATAAGTATTAAGGCCAGTATGACAAGATCACTCATGTGCATCCCTATAGCTGGTAGTATTATTACTACAGTACATAGTGACTATAAAAAGTAAATTAGCACTATAAATCAATTCCTGTAACTGTTTCTGTTATCATGACTCAAGATAATGCACCAAAAAGAATCCCATACTAAGGCCACTCCTTAAGAAACTAATCACTGATAACATACAATATTGTGCTTTAATAAAAATAGTTCATTAGGTTGCTGCATTTAAACTATACTTATATTTGTCACATCAAACAGTAACTATATTTATATGTTACACAATACTTCATTCAAATTAAAATTAGAATTCTGCCAAAAAGTTGTTGTCTGGGTAGGGATGAACATGCTCATAACTATCATCATAAGTGGATTTACAATACAAGACTTTGTGATACATCAAAATAATGGTAGACTTGTGATAAATATATGATACATCAATTTACTAAAAGGTTTACAAATTGCCTTCTAAGATGCAGGCGCACTGAAAACTATTGTGATAGTATAGTAAAATACTACAATACAATACAAACAAATTTGATTGAGTTAATACTTTTATATTCTATTTGTAATATTTACAATGCTTTTGCATACAAATGTAATACATGGATAGAACAGTACTTTAATGTTTAAATGACATTATAAAAAAGTCGTTTCTTATGTGTCCATAATTAAAGCATATAAAGTGTGCTCTTATATAAAATAGGGACTTTCAGGAATCTATTTATAGAAGTTACTGTGTTGGTTTCAGTATATTTATAAGATTAGAAATGATGATTATTTATGTCACTTGCTTTAAATAAGAAAATAATTATTGATTTAAAAACTAACTTGAGACAGGTTTTTGACAACTATAAGTGCCAAATTGACATTGCTTTTTACTTACAACTAAAAACTACTCGTATACCATGCATCAAAATTTTAGAAAAGAATGGAATCTATTCTAAAATCTACATTATTATTTATTTTTGTGACATTTATGATTGCAGCTTTATATTGCTGTTTGTTAGTTTATTAACCTGTTAATCAAGCCACAGTATGAAATTGCTCTGTTACTTTTTTTAAGTCTCAATGCTAATACATGCCTAAGTTTATTTGAAGGTTAACATGGGATTATGAGTACTATTAATTGTGAATTTTGCAATTGAAATAAAAATTGAACAGTATAATGCAATGCATTAATGGGGTGAGCTTGAGTCAGTCGTGGTTATGCACTGACTCTGCTGCTAGCTAGGCTGTTTTTTAGTTAAATCTTGAATCTGGGATGCCATCATAATCCTTGAACATGAAGAAGAGCATCCTTTTCATTTGAGTTAGGTTGGTGATGTTGAGCTCAAGCTTTCTTCTTGCTTTATATAGTTTTGCATACGTGTTTTTACAATATTTTGTTAGAAAATTGCTAATGCATTAGATTGAGAGATAAATAAATAGTAGTGCACATGTGGGGCGTGACCAGAAGATGGGCATGACTGGAGATCAATGTACGCATACATACCATTATGCAATTGTACATACATACATACATACATACATACATACATGCATACAGAAGACTATAGTCTGGCCATGCGAGACTAACCGAAGACTTCTGCTACAGTGGGGCTCGCTCAAGTTCATCCCAAATAATTATTATTATTAAAGGGCAACCGACACAAAAAATTGGGTTCTGATTAAAAATCAAAAATATTTTCATTATGGTGTAGAATGGCTTGCAAAAATACTTTTGATGCAAAATAATTGCTCTTTCCTGGAGAAAAACTGCTTTTAAAATGCATAATTTACTTCCTCATTTCTGCATCCTGTATTTAGCAAATGTGGGTGTGGTCACGTGTGACATCACAAGAGGGAAGATGTCTGTTTGCTCCATTGGTTTATACACAACTTCATGTTAGATTTCTGGAGTTTTGAATATTTTAATGCAGAAAAAATGTACTCCCTATTGTTTAGCAGGTAAAGAAGGTATGATTTAAGGGCAAAAGTACTAATTATAAGCAAGTTCAGAATTTCATGG